CCTCTTCCTTGGCCAAGACCAACTCAATTTTGCCCGTCTCCGCACCGATTTTCGCTGCCTTTGGAGGCCACACCACCTTGTTGGTTAGCTGGAAGTCAAAGGCGTGCCAATTGTGCTGCACTAAAACCCGTACAGCCAGTTGCAGGGAATCTTTTCGCCGGACTAGCAATCCCGGATTTGCCAAGCTGCGTGTGTAGAAGATTAGGGTAAGTTCGCTCCTCTGCTGGATCCAATCGAAACGAGGCACTATCTCTGGAGGCTTCAAAACAACATTGGTAATCTGAGGAGTATCTTTCGGTGGTTTTGTCTCATTCTCTTTCAGTGGTCCCACATAGCATTTCCCCAGCAATTGCGGATAGTTCACCCAGGCGTGCACCTCGTCGAAAAGTTTGGTTGCATCGCTACCAACTCCCCGCATGAGTTCGTCCACTCCGCCCGGATGAAAGTCCATGTAGCGGGTAACATTGAACACACGACCTCGTATCGCCATCCAGGCGTCGTCGACCTTGTTGTGCCGGGCCAATTCTTGGCGCGAGACGGGCACCACACGTCCTCCGGTCCCCGATAAATCCGCTCCAGAATTGCATAGCCGTATCCAGCTCATGAGCGAGTAGCCCGGCTTCAAAGCACACTTGTTGCGGGGATTGCCGGTGGCCGAGCCAGAAGCGGAGGATGATGAGGATCCATTGGAGCTGGGGTTCAGCTTCTGAGGGGCGGTTACGGGCAATTGGAGGCCACCGGCGGATCCACGAAGAGCCACCAACTGTGGTGGCCTCATCGATTCGTTACTGGCGGGGGGTTTCAGGGACGGATCGGACATTATCAGTCCAAAGAAGCGTTAACCACGGGAATCAACAAGCTAACAATTGACACATCAATCAGCTGTTTTAGCAAGTGGTTCCAGGAACCAGTGAGGGCGTCCAAACGAACTAGTTCTAATCATTTTGGCGGTTGATTTAAGATTATTAATGGGAAATAAAGCTTATTATTTTTTTAAACTAATACTTAAACTAAAACTGGCAGGATTTCCTTTTCTTCGAAAATACTCAGATCATACTCTACTCAAAGTTTTAGCTTCGAACTGCCTATTTCAAACACGATACACTCAAAACAAAGCATAAAGACGTGAATTTCAGTTACTATTTCTTGTAAAGTTTTGTTTTATCAGTAAGCGTTTGTAATCACGTTTTGATTTTATATTTCAAATTTATTTTACGCATTTTTTCAAAAGACCTATTATTAAAACTTATAGCGGTGGTAATCCGCAGGCCACTCAATCAGCACCGCAAAATCGGGAAATGTTTTGGCAAAATCCTGGGCTATTGAATCGCCTGTCGAGTTCATAAATTGTCTGGCGACTCCAATTTGGACGACGGCCTCATTGAAATCGTTACCGGATTTCTGGAAAATAAAATATTATAAGCAGTTCTACTTATAATAAATAATCTAGCTGCATACCTGAAGTTCAAGAGTAAGGATTACTGGTGAACTATCCACACCGGAGCTGAAGTAGACATAGTATGGTGGGCTGGTGGTCAAGTAGCTCTCCTCTAACGACCAGTTGGTTATGGTTACGTCCTCTTCAGGCTGGATAAACAAACTTGAGTGATCCGTGAAAAAGATCTTGACCTCAATCAGCAGGGTATTGCCATCATCTATTACTGTTCTATTTAGGAGCTCAAGGGGCTTTTCTGGAACCGTCTCTACGGGCGTATTCCGAGGCAACCACATTCCGTTCAAACGATTATTCATATAACGGCTATCGGGGATTGGCATACCGCACAGCATGTACTTCGCGCAATCAGATTCCAAGCTCACTATTCCTGTTAAATTCACATTTGCTTCCACCAAAGGAGCATAACCACGTCGATCCTGGAAATTAAACAGATATCCTGACTCATCCTTACTAACGGTTCCACCGAATTCGTAAAAGATCCGACGCACGTGCTTTAAAAAATAGAAAAGTATGTTTAATGGAAGTCCTTACCTAAAACTCTTTAATTTTTGACTTACCAAATAGTAAACCCTTTCCACATTGGTCCTAGGGCGATATGGAAAACCAATTTGAGTTGAGCTGGCTATATAAATAGTAGCGGCGCTTATGGCCATTAAGGATACAATAATGAAGCCGGATCGATGAGACTTGTTAACGAGCAAAATCTAAAATGGATTCATAAAGTTAGAGAACATCGAAGTTTAAAAGAAAAAATTAAACATACCACAAAGCCCAGGGACAGTATAGTACCCATGGCGACCAATGCAGAAATGATCAGGTCGGGATTTGTATTTCTTTATACGAAAGTAAGTGTCAGAAAGTGTAAACATAAAATTAATTTAAAACTTACTGTCCAAAACGACCCATCATCGGAGTAAGAATGACAACAAACGTGTAGAAGAGGTAGCTGTTGTACAGGAATGGAACCACCTGGAAAATTTTCAGAACACCGATCCAAGAGAAGCCGCAATCATGTAGAGAGGTCAGTAGATTAAGCAACAAGGGAATAACGTAAAAGACTAGAGTCCACGTAATAATATAGGTAGTACGCAATCCGTAGAAATTAAGAGCAACACAGAGAACTGACAGGATAATGGCATGTCCATGAAGAGCCATTTGTAGTTGCTGCGCATTCGTAAGATTCTTCTGAGAAGAAAGTAATTTTAAAATCTGGAAAATTAGCAGCTAAATTATAAAAAATTTACTTACATGATTCTGAATTTTCAGATACACAAAACTAGGCAGAGCCAGACCCACAAGACTGGGGCACACATAGAGGCCTAGAGAAAGTGCCGGAGTGCTGAAATAGGTCATTGTCAGACCATTCTGATCAAACATATATGCAACCAATATAGGCAGAGCTAGACCCAATACAAAGGCAACGACTTGAACTATGATGATTGGGATGAACCATATTAGGATTTTCTTAAAGGTCACATTGGATTTTACCGCCATGCGTAACAGTGATATGTAGACTAGGATGATAACTACTCCGGCCACGGCATAGTTTAGAATTATACCATTGCTCTCTGAATATCTGACAAGGAACAGTCCCAAGACATCAAAGAAAACTGTTTTTCCTTCCACCTTTGGAATATACATTTTTGTAATTAGATGAAAAGCGATAGTCTATTATAACTTACGGTGGTGTCATGCAATTCTGGGGCATTGGCCAGAGCTTTAACTAGGCTTAAAAGGTTGTCACCTGTGTTTTGAATGGCAGCTCGAGGAATTATGTCATAGCTATCATACTTTGTGTGATACACATAACCATTGACGCACTGACCAAGATCGAGTCCTGGAGTATAGTCAAGAGTTATAATATAATTCCAGATAAAATAGAGGTTTGTAGTTTAATAACTTACCGACGAGATTTCCATAAGCGACAAAGATACGATAATCTGTGTCCGATGGTATAACCCCAGTCTGAAAGATTTCTTCAGCCATAGTGGTGGCAAATGGATGTTTCGCATGGTTCTTGTAATACTAATATAAGAAAGTTCTTCATTTTAAATAATGTTTTTAAAATATAATTATAAACAGCCTTACATCGAGAAGCCAGGGATTATTAGGTCCTGTCTGGAAAAGGATTTCCCGACTTCCGCTGCCGGCTGCATCCAGATTTATTAAGACTCTTTAAAAAAAATGTTAGTATAAGAAGTTAGCTGATAAATTAAAAAATCCTGCACAACTAACTTGCAGTTTGGAGCCCATTTGTGTTGGGTAATGAAACCGTGTGATGCCTGCAGCGAATTCTCCTCGGCTCCATTGAGGAGAAAGATGATTGTGTGCTTAAACTTTTCCCTGGTCGCTGTGATCACTCGCAGTACCTCCAGGACGGATACTACCATGTGACCCGCATCACCGGCAGATGGAGTAGCAGGCTTGGAATCAAAGTGGGTGTTGACCAGGAGGTAATCCTCACTTGTGCAGTTCTTGGGCGTCACTTTGATCACGATATTCTGCACTGCCTGATATTGGAAGAGGGCACCGGCCTTAACATACGAACCGGAAACTATTTGTCGATCAATCTCCATGTCAAAAAAGTCTTCCAAAACGTTTGCCTGAATCAATGCCAGTTCGCTCAACAGGAACTGAACGGTTTTGTTCTCATTCGCATCGCTGCCGACGAGCTTGGTGCCGATTTTATCGAAGTCATAAAGATTGGACTGGGCACGTTCGGCGATGAAAACCCCCTTGGACACATCATCCAAGGTATTGGCACGAGGAAGGCGATAGAAAAGAGGTACCACAACGCCTAGAAAAAGAAAGCCCCATAACAAAAAAGATCCACCGGTAAAATACCAGGAACTTTTAGGGATGTTTGTCTTTTTTCGCAAAGTCGTCTGTAATGTGGCTGTCTCAATAAAATCATCGGATAACTAAAACAAATTAAAAAACGTTAAAAAAAAATTCAATTCTATCCGAAATTTACCTACAAGTAAATCCTTGTCTACCATTTTCTTGCTTTGTATCGATCCCTCCGCCAAAACTAGACTGAAATTAAGTCACTTACTTGGGCCTTTATATCCAAAATACAGACGGCTCATAATAATAATAACCCATTGCAAATCAATTGCACGTTTGCTTATCGTAAACACTGGCAATTTAGATTATTCTTTATAACCATTTTAAAGCAATAAAAGTTGAGGTAGTCCTACTGAGATTCATCGAAAAAAATTTTTTTTTTATTACAGGTCATATTTTTATGGATTAAGTTAAAATAGTGTTATAGTGAAGTATTGAAGTAATAATTAAGCTCTAAGACGGAAATTTTTGTGACTTAATAAATTAATCTACCACTGATCCAGCTATTTGATAACACTTGTGATAAGTGATTTTTATGGTTTCAGACATGGTATATAATAGTTTTACAACTCATGCCCGTCAAAACTGATAAAGTGGTTGGTCAAAATAGGTTTTCAATTCAAACAATATTTACTAATGGAATTTTTTATTATTTACGAAATTCAAATTCATACTAATTAATCAACATATATTCGAACTAAAATATGTATCGGTGGTAGTCCGCTGGCCATTCAATCAGGACCGCGGAGTCGGGGAATGTCTTCGCAAATTCCTGAGCAGTTATATCGCCTGAAGAATGCATAAACTGCCTGCCAACTCCGATTTCACAGACTGGTACGTTGAAGTCTCCGTTGGATTTCTAAAAAATCAAGCCAATACCATTTAATATGAATTTCTGGAAACAAGGGGCCTTCAACGTCCTACCTGAATCTCAATAGTTACGGTAAGAGGAGAACCATCTACGCCGTAAGTGAAGAACATATAATAGGGTGGGGTAGTGGACAAGTAGCTTTCAAGTAGCGACCACTTGGTGATGGTTGCATCCACATAAGGCTCGATGTACAGAGTCGAATGGTCTGTGAACCGTATCTCAAATTCGAACCGAACGGTCTTGCCATCTTCCAAAATAGTTTTGTTAAGAAGCACCAAGGGTTCATCGGTCGCAGGTTCAATGGGTATTTCTCGTGGCAACCAAGTTCCGTTCAGACGATTCTTCACATAGCGGGAATCGGGATATGGCACTCCGCACATCATGTACTTGGCACAGTCGGATGCCATGCTCACCATGCCAGTTAGATCCACATTGGCTTCCAGTAGGGGAGCACTACCACGACGATCCTGGAAGTTGAACAGATATCCGGACTCATCTTTGCTAATGGTTCCATCGTATTCGTAAAAGGTTCGGCGCACATGCTAAAAGGGAAAATGAAAGTCATTAAAAGGTTTCAAATAGCACTTTACTTATTTCACTTACCAAATAGTATACCCTTTCGACATTAGTCTTTGCACGATAAGGAAAACCAATATCCGTGGAGCTGGCAATGTAAATAGTGGCAGCACTTGCGGCCAACAAAGCCAACAGAATATAACCCGATCGACGTGAGACATTTATAAGCAAAATCTAAAGGTTTATGGGTAAGAAAAATCTAAAATCTGAAGCAATACAAGAAACTTACCAAAAAGCCCATGGAAAGAATAGTTCCCAAGGCGGCCAAGGCAGAAATGATCAAGTCGGGATTAGTGGTCCTAAAAAATAAAACGAATTTAAATACCATTTCCTTTTAAACATCCCATCCACACTTACTGTCCGAAACGACCCATCATGGGTGTGAGAATAACGATGAATGTGTAGAAAAGATAGCTATGGTAAAGGAACGGGACGACCTGGGTCAGTTTCAAGATTCCAGTCCATGAGTATCCGCGATCTTGGAGAGTGCTCAGCAAATTGAGAGCCATAGGGATGACATAGAACACCAGGGTCCATGTAATGATATAGGTACTACGCAGGCCGTAATAATTGATGGCAATCCCAAGGATCGACAGAACAATAGCATGTCCATGGAGAGCCATTTGCAGTTGATGGGCATAGGTAAGTTTCTCCTAGGGATAAAGATATTCGTTACTCAATAAGTTAACTAGTTAGTTCAATATGTTAAACTCACATTCTTCTGCAGCCTAAGGTAAATGAAACTGGGAAGAGCCAGTCCCACAAGACTTGGGCAAACGTACAGGCCTATAGAAAGAGCCGGAGTGCTGAAGTAGGTGAGTGAAAGTCCGTACTTATCGAACACATAAGCGACCACTATGGGAAGTGCTAGTCCCAGCACAAAGGCAATCACTTGAAGGACAAGGATAAGGACGAACCAACCCTGGACCTGTGCGGGGGTAACGTTGGAGACATCCGCTATGCGCAATAGAGATACATAAACCAGGATAATGGCGACTCCAGCAACGGCATAGTTGAGGGTTTTTCCATTCTCCGCCGAGTAGCTAACTAAGAACAATCCTAGGACATCGAAAAACACGGCTTTTCCGGTCTCCTGAAATGGAGAAACATTACAAGGTGTTTTGTCATTCAATAGGATAGGTTTAATAAACGTACAGTGGTATCAGCCAATTCTGGGGCATTGGCAAGGGCTTTAGCCAGAGCCAAAAGGTTGTCTCCCGTGTTTTGAATAGAAGCCCGTGGTATAATATCATATTGATCGTACTTTGTGTGATAGACGAAACCGTTGCAAACCAGTCCAATATCATAACCTACGATATGAAATATATTCATCTGCATTAAGTAAGTATGTTTAGGTATTGTTTCTTACCCACGATGTCACCATAGTCGGTGAATATAGCAAAGTCAGTATCCGAGGGCACAATACCAGTTTGGAAAATTTCCTCAGCCATGGTTGTAGCAAATGGATGTTTCGCACTCTCTTTGTAGTACTGGAATACATAGATCGATTAGTGGAAATTTCCCATTATAAAATCGTTAAAGTAATCTTCACCTTGACAAGCCACGTATTGTTGGGTCCGGTCTGGAATAACAGCTCCCTACAACCACTACCAGCTGCATCCAAATTAATTACGACCCATTAAAAACATAAATTGAAAGTTAAAATTTCTAAAGACTTATTAAATATATCTTTTTGACTCACTTGCAGTATGGTGCCCATTTGTGTGAAGTGAGGAAACCGTCAGATGCCTGCAGGGAGTTTTCCTCGGAACCGTTGAAGAGAAAGATAATTGAGTGCGTTAACTTCTCCGTCGAGGTTGTGATAATTCTGATCACCTCCATCATGGTCACAATCATGTGACCCGCATCGCCGACAGATGGACTTGTGGGCTTTGAGTCAAAGTGGGAATTCACCAGCAGGTAATTTTGGCTCGTACTGCCCTTGGGCGTTATTTTAACCACTATATTCTGTACAGCCTGATACTGGTATTGTGCTCCGCCCCTCACATACGATCCGTAAGCAAGTTGGTGGTCGATCTCCATTTCGAAATAGTCTTCTAGAACATTCTCCTTAATTAGAGCTAGTTCTTTTAGAATAAACTGGACGGTTTTATTCTCGTTTCCATCGCTTCCGACCACCTTGGTGCCGATCTTTGCAAAATCGTAGAGATTTTCCTGGGCGCGTTCAGCAATAAAGACTCCCTTGCCCACATCCTCGAGGGTATTGGCCTCAGGAAGGCGGTAGAAGAGGGGCACAACGACCGTTAGGAAGAGTGAGGCCCAGAAAATGACGAAGCCACCGTCCATATACCATGGAATTTTGGGTATCTGTCTCTTAATTCCAACATTCTTTTTATTACTGGCCGATTCAATCGAATCAAGTGATTCCGACAACTAAAAAAGGTACTAGTTAGTTTATCAAGCACTTGAGGTTTCACATTTTTTTCTTACAAGAAGGTCCTTGTCGCCCATTTTGCTCTGGTCTTTGCCTCTTGCCCAGAACGTTGTATTTAACAGAATGAGACTGATTGGAAAGGGGAGTCTTTTATATTCAAAAATCGGTAAGATTATCGTTCACGTGTTTTGTGGTTAAGATTATGGATTATTACCTATTTATTGTAATAAATGCGAGGGTGGGTTGAGATTAATCATTACTATTACTATATATTATTATACTTATATATAACTATATATTACTTTTTAAAAAAATCAGTCTATACCGGTTGTTTGCTAACATATATAAAGTATAGCAGTACAACATGGTAAAACTTATTTTTGATCTACACATTAAGGGTTCGTTTAGATCTTTTGTCCATATCGAAAATTAAATATAGTCTTGTTCAATTTAAATATAAAAAAAAAAAAGAATTTCAAACTAATTGAACTACCCTCGAGGGAATCAAAGATTAATCAAACTTGCAGTAAATCATTATGTCTCAAGCATTTTCACACTCTTTTTTTTGTTGATAGCAGATCTTTATGGTTACGGACCCACCGCAACATCATGATTATTATCAACTAGTTGAACACATACTATTTGAACTGGAGCGCCAGATAGCCCAACTAAAATAAGATGAGCTCATAGATATATTAATATCGACTTTTCTCAATCAAAATGATTATTTTACGTTCCTATTTTATTAGTTTAATGTGCCAAAAATATACTCCTAACACTTGAAATTGATTGGTAACTTTTTAAAACCAGTAGACACCTTAACTCGAAAAGTTATGAACAGAAATTCTTCTCGGAAGTTTACTTTAATAAATAAGTAATTCTAAAAATCAGAAATCGATAAAACTGTATGCAAAAGTTTAAACTTCGTATAAATTTATTGTTTTTCAATTTAAATTGTTTTTGTTCATTTGTCTTTTTTTCTTCAATTCAAAATACAGTAGAAGAACAAATGTTTTTTTCAATTTTCGGAAAATCGGTCAGGTATTAGCAAAAAATATTAAAAAAATGTTATAAGAAAATTATAGAAAATGCTCTTGCCTACCTCACACAAAATGTTTAAACAATTATTGTACCTTCTACGTATATGTATAATTTTGTTTAATCAATTCCGATAGTTTCCAACCGATTTTTTTTGACAACTTTTAAGTGGTACAATAATTTATTTTTATAGTTACCCTACAGATGGGGATGAAGATAAACTATCTAGCAATTTACGAACCTTGAATAGCTATTTCTCATTGGAAATTCCCCGTGCTAAAGTCTTGCAGAAAATAATATATTTACGAGTATTGTCACAAAGAAGTAAGACATTATTTAAAGGTACAAATCCGTAAAAAGTAAATGGAATAAAAACACATATCGATCTTTATTCATCCAGTATTTAGGATACACTCAAAAAGATCAAGATGTAAAATTAAAATTAGGTTGAAATAAATTTATCAAAAGGGTTTTGAACTCACTACTTTTATTATTAAAAAAAATTGTTCTTAAAATTTTTACGTTTTTTTATTTATATAGGAAAATTTCTTATACAATAATAGTTTAGAATTGGTATTTCTTATAAATAGCTGGCCACTGAATGGTAACGGCGAAGTCGGGGAAAGTTTTGGCGAACTGGACGGCTTCCTCGTCGCCATCAACGTGCATGTAATGTGCTGAAATTCCCATTTCGAAAAGTTGGACGTTGAAGTCGGCATCGGGTTTCTGAGGAAATAAACTGAAATAAAATCCTGACTTTAACTATAATGTTAGTATCTCATACCGTTATATCGATGGAGAAATCGAGTGGTGTATTGTCGATTCCGTAGGAATAGTAGATGTGATACGGTGGTGAGTTAGAGGTTAGATATTCCTCAAGGAACGACCAGCTGCTGACGGTAACATCCTCGTTTGGGTTAATGAAAATACTGGTGTGATCCGTGCAGTTCAGATTGAACTGGAATCGAATGGTCTTGCCATCGGCCAGCACAGTCTTGTTACGTAGCTCCAAGATCGGTTCAGCTGGCGTCCAAACGGGAGTCTCTCGCGGCAGCCACATGGTATCGTCCATGGCCTCCACCCAACGATGATCGTATAGGGGCATACCGCACATCATGTACTTGGCGCAGTCGGATGTCATGTTGACCAGGCCCGTAAGATCCACATTGGTGTCCTTCAACGGAGAAACTCCGCGACGATCCTGAAAACTGAACAGATATCCGGACTCATCCTTGCTGACGGTTCCATCGTATTCGTAGAACACCCGGCGCACTTGCTGCAAATCGTCGGGATATTAGAGATATATCTTCTTTTAAACATTAGATGTTAAACCCACCAAGTAGGGAACACGCTGTACGTTAGTCTTCGCGCGGTAGGGGAATCCGATATCAGAGGAACTGGCAATAGTGATAGCTGCGATGGCCACGGATAACAAGGTGAGAAGAACGAATCCTGATCGGCGGGACATGTTAATCAGTAAAATCTGGGGGTTAGGAAGAATACTTTAGCTTGGGTAAAAAAAAGTTAGCTGAAGGGAAACTTACCAAAAAACCCATGGATAGTACGGTTCCCAGGGCAGTCAAAGCTCCGATGATCAAGTCGGGATTGGTACCCCTTAAAATTTTTTAAAATTATAAAAATAGTTCTTAGAGCGTTATTCAAGTTTAAGTACTTACAGTCCAAAGCGACCCATCATTGGCGTGAGTATCACAATGAAGCAATAGAAGAGATAGCTGTTGTACAGGAACGGAGCGACCTGGACAATCTTCAAGATGGCCGTCCACGAAAACCCGCGATCGTGCAGGGTGGTAAGGAGATTGAAAGCCAAGGGTACGACGTAGAAAACGAGGGTCCATGTAATAACGTAGGTGGTCCGCAATCCATAATAATTGATGCCAATGCAGAGAATCGATAGGACGGCGGCGTGTCCATGGAGTGTCAGTTGAACTTGCTGGGCAACTGAAACCTTATCCTGTTCAGATGTTAATGATTAGGCTCTAGAAGTCGTACTAGTGGGCTATCTAATCAACTTACATAACTCTTCAGCTTCAGATAGATGAAACTGGGCAGTGCAAGTCCCAGGAGACTGGGGCACACATATAGACCGATCAAAAGCGATGGAGTGGCGAAATAGCTGAGGGAGTAGCCGTATTTGTCCAAGCCATAGGCCACCAAAAGAGGCAGGGCCAGACCCAGAACAAAGGCGATAACCTGGACCACTAGAACCAAGACGAAGGAGCTCAGGACCTGTTCGGAGCTGACATTCGATGTATCCGCTATGCGCAGCAAGGATACATAAACCAGGATAAGGGCGGCTGCAGCCACGGCATAGTTGAGCTTCACACCAGTGTCGGCCGAATAGGTAATGAGATACAATCCCAGGACATCAAAGAAGGTGGTGTTTCCACTTGGGTTTGCCTGATTAAGATAAGAGAAAATTCTAAGTAAAATGAAAAAGAAATAACAAATAATAGAATAACCTACGCTGGGATTACGCAACTCAGTGGCATTTGACAGGGTTCGGACCAATCCCAAAAGATTGTCTCCTGTGTTCTGAAGAGCAGCCCGGGGAATAACATCAATGCGATCGTACTTTGTGTGATACACGAATCCATTGATGCACTGCCCAATATCCAGTCCTGCCATTAGAATCAATCTTAGTTGTTGAAAATATTCAATGATTAACTTAGCTTACCAACAAGGTTTCCGTATTCAACGAAAATATCAAAATCTGTGTAGGATGGCACAAGTCCTGTCTGAAAGATTTCCTCAGCCATGGTGGTGGAAAAATAATGCTTGGCGCCCTGCTTGTAAATCTGGAAGATATGATATCGATAAGATATGTCTGATAAATAATTTTTAACGTAAATGTAAAGATTCTTACACTGGCCAGCCAGGGGGTGTTCGGTCCAGACTGGAACATGAGTTCGCGACCTCCACTTCCAGCTGCATCCAGGTTAATGACAGCCCTTGAAAATGCAGTTCTCGTTAGTATTGTGAACTTAATTATCATAGCTTCTTAAACCTACTTGCAGTTCTTTGCCCATTTGTGGTAGGCAATGAACCCGTGGGATGCCTGCAGCGAATTCTCCTCGGATCCATTGATAAGGAAGACAATGGGGTGCTCGAACGATTGCGTCGATGACGAAATCACTCGCAATACCTCCAGGATGGAGACCACCATATGACCATCATCGCCGGTTGAGGGACTCGTGGGCTGGGAGTCAAAGTGGCTGTTGACCAGGACATAGTTTTCACTGGTACTGCCCTTGGGAGTCAGCTTAACCACGACGTTCTGGATGCCCTGATACATGTTGACCAGATTCCACTTCACATACGCACCGTAGGCATATTGCAGATCGATTTCCATGTCGAAGAGGTCCTCCCGAATGTTCTCCTTGATCAGATTCAATTCTTTAAGCAGAAACTGCACAGTCTTATGCTCGTTTCCATCGCTGCCGACCACCTTGGTACCAATGGCTTCGAAATCATAAAGATTGGCCTGGGCACGTTCGGCTATGAAGACACCTTTTGAGGCATCCTCTACTGTGAGGGGTTCGGGAAGGCGGTAGAAGAGGGGCTTCACTACCGCCACGAAAAGCAGTCCCCAGAACAGGACAATGCCACCGGAAAAGTACCAGGGAAGTTGAAGGTATCCTTTTGCTTTTTTACTATGCTTTCTAGAGTACGATTTGACTCCATCCTCGACAGGCTCGTCTAAAATCTGATAAAGGAACATTTTTAGTTTACTTTAGCAACTACTTTTAACAACTATCCTTACAAGTTTGTCCTTGTCACCCATATTTGTTCTGCCTTACTGGCCAAATGGGATGCAAAACTAGACAGACTCGATTCGTATTTCCAGCGCTTTTATATACCAGAAATAATCCGCCCATCCCTATTGGCCCTATTTAACTACTACTCAAGAACTATAAACACAGCGAGGGTTGCTTGAAAAGAACCTACACGTTGAAAGTCTTTTAAGTTTTCTTTTTAAAATATCTCTCAAATGGTTTGTAATACAAAGGAAACAAAAATTATAAAATTGAACATTTGCAAAAACCCTATTAACAGAATATTTAATTTTTGATTTCTCTTTTAATATAATACTTATTTTAAGGGGTGGTTTTTGTAAACCGACCTACCTTCATAATTACTTAAACTGCTCTTAAGAGAGCAACAAATTTTATAGTATGTAATAACCATTAAGGTTGATTGCTGAAATCTGATAACTCAAACGATTTCGATTTCTTTATTTTTTGGCAGATAAGATATCTTTTTCGTCTCAGGCCCAGCAGAACCAGACTTATGTTGTTACCAAGTAAGCGGGTACCATGTGAAAACAATTAATTCCCACTTATACCCGTGGCATTGGAGTACTTAATTGTAGGCAAATTCAATCATCGCGACATAATTTATTGGTTCATAAAGTTTGTAGTTTAACTCGAAACACGCGTCTGATAATGAAATAAATAATCTTTGATGATAGCTTGTCGCCTGATTAGAAAGTAAACATTACATTTATATGCGTTCTTGACCCCATTAGTATATATATATATATTTTTGATCAGGATCACTTGCCAAGACGATCTATCCATGTCCGTATGAAAGCTGATATCTCGGAAACTATAAAATCTAGAATGTTGGGATTTGGCATGAAGATTCTTGGGCTTGGGTGCGACGTCCACTCTAAGGCCCACAATCGACCATAACACTAAAACCCGTCCATCGACCACATTTTTAAAATTTTTTGTTAAAACTTAAAATAGGGATTGTCTTTATTAACAATATCTATCTACATGCTAAAAAGTTATTGAAATCGGACCATTAATTCTAAAGTTATAGTCAAATAAAAGTCAATATTTTGCAATTTAATTGAAACTGCACTCTCGCACTTTCTTTAGCTGAATAACGGGTATCTAATAGTCGAGGCCATCAAATTAGGAATATTAAAAAATCAATATGCTTAGCTGTTATGTGTCAGACCTAGAAATAAATAAGGGTTCGGGGATTTTCACTAATCTGCAGACATTGCCATATAATCAAGATTAAAATTTGTTTACAAAATCAAACTGAAAAAATTTTTTTTTTATTATTGGCACTTATATACACCTTGGGTATTATGGAACACACTTGTGTATTATATTGATTTACAGCATTAATAACAAAACTAGCATAGTTTTTAGAATATGAATCGTTGATATGAGGTTGGCCACTCGATCAGCACAGCATAGTCTGGAAAAGACTTCGCAAATTGTTGGCTGAGTTCATCGCCCTGGTTGCCAATAAAGTGTGCGCACACACCCAACTGGAAAAGGGGAACTTTGAAGTCCCCATTAGATTTCTATAAGGAAAAGTAATTATAGTTATTTTGCAAAGGTTACATTAATGTATGGAAAACTTACCGAGAGTTCGATAAAAAAGGATAACGGCGAGCTGTCCTTGCCATAGGAAAAGTAAACATGGTAGGTAGGTTGCTGTCCAATGTATTCGAGTGGGAAAGACCAGTTGGTAATGTTCACGTCCTCATAGGGTTGGATAAACAGGCTGGTGTGATCGGTTGTATTAATCGTGAACTTAAATCGGACAGTTGTCTTGTCTGCCAGGATAATTTTGCTTATCAGCTGCACATTGGGCACATAAGGAGGATCTATAAGTTCCTCACGAGGCAGCCACATGGCGTTTAGACGATTCTTCACCCATCGGTGATCGTAAAGTGGTTGTCCACACATCATGTGCTTCTCACACTCAGATGCGATGCCAACCAACCCAGTTAAGTTAACATTGGTTCCTTCCAAAGCAGCCGGTCCACGACGATCCTGGAAATTGAATAGGTATCCGGAGTCATCTCTGCTAACGTTTCCATTGTAACTGAAAAAGGTACGTCGCACATGCTGCAAGGAAATCGAAAAGGATATATATATTTAACGTATGTGATAGGACTTCCAAGTACTAACCAGATAGGGAACTCTTTCAACGTTGGTCCTTGGCCTATAGGGAAAACCGATGGGCGTAATTGTGGCTGTGAAACAACTAAGTCCAAATATTGTCAAAAGAGTGAGTAAGATCAGGCCAGGTCGTCGGAATATAATAACAATGGGAACCTAAATAAAATAACTTTAGATTATAGGTTAAAATCGAGCCTATGGAAAGGAATTCTTACCAAGAAGCCCATGGCAAGAATAGTTCCCAATGCGTTTATAACAGACATATATAAATCTGGGTTGGTTGACCTGAAAACCAGTGATTTCATTATATTAGTAGTAGGGATTTCATTATATTAGTAGAAACTCACCTGCCAAAGCGTCCCATCATAGCAATCATCGTCTGCACAAGGGTATACAACAGATAGCTGTTGTACAAAAATCCAAAAAGTTGAAAGATAACCACTGCTCCTGTCCAGGAAATTCCTTGATCATGCAAAAGCGTTACCAGATTGATAACTAGCGCTACGACGTATAGTAGGAGAGTCCATGTTATCACATAGGTGCTGCGCAGACCATATAAAGTCAGTCCGATTACCAGAACCGCCAATATAAAGGCGTGGGCGTGAAGAACCATATGTAGTTGTTGGCGAAAATAGGTTTTGCTCTAAATGGTTTATGGGTTATAGTTTTCTGCGAAACTCAAAAACATACTTTACTTACGGCCCGTGAGAGCGCTAGAAAAATGTAGGGCGGCAAAAGCAAGCCAAACAGGCATGGGCATACATATAGTCCGAACATCAACTCCTTTGAGCTAAAGTAAGTAAGACTTAAGCCCTTACTATCAAAATAATTTGCAATCCATATGGGTAGTCCCAAAGCAAGCGTAAGGGCTAGGATTTGTACGATCAAAATCAGAACGAACCAGAACACCATAAAATTGATAGACACGTCAGATTTGTTTGCCATTCGACCCAGGGATAAGAAGATTAGCAGTATGGCTGCTATGGCCACAGATAAGTTTAGAATAATGCCAGTTTTGTTAGTGTAGTTAATGAAAAATAGTCCCAAGACGTCAAAAAATACAGATGGTCCTTGTTCATAATCCTATAAAGAGAGTGGATTATGTTATAATTGAAGTATCAAGCTAGGTAAACCTACCGCAGTGTTTTGTAGCTCAGTGGCATTGGATAGGGCGCGAACCAAACTGAGGACATTTTCACCCATGCTCTGAACAGAATCAGATGGTATAATGTCATAGGTATCGTACTTCGTGTGATAAGTATAGCCGTTGATATTCTGAGCCATGTCCAAACCTAAGTAAGGTAGTTATTCGTGAAAAATTTCTTATTTCATTACATTTAACTCGGGCTTACCAATGAGGTTTCCATATTTAGTCAGAATAGTGAAATCCGTGTCGGAAGGCATGGATCCTGTTTGATAGATTTCCTCACCCACGGTGGTGGCAAATGGATGTTTGGCGTACTTTTTGTAGTACTAAAATATATTTCATTTTAAATGTGGACAAACAAGAATCCTGAGGTGACTTACATCTACTAGCCAGGGATGGTTGGGTCCAGTTTGAAAGAGTAACTCACGACCTCCACCACCACATCCTTCCAGATTGATAAAAACTCTTCAAATAAAGAAGTTAATTTTTATAAAAGTGATACGTTTGTGCATTTACTCACTTGCAGAATGGAGCCCATTTGTGTTGGGTTATAAAGCCATGTGAGGCCTGTAAAGGATTCTCCTCAGCGCCGTTCAGCAAAAAGATTATTGGGTGCATAAATGTTTGCCTGGTGGTGGACATCACACGCAGAACCTCCAGGATAATGGCCACCATTTGACCTGCGTCGCCGGCGGAAGGACTTGTTGGCTTGGAATCAAAGTGACTGTTGACCAGAAGGTAAGTTTCACTGGTGCAGTTCTTCGGACTCAGCTTTATAACTATATTCTGCACTGCCTGGTACTTATTCACCATTGTCCAATGAATGTACGATCCCGAGACCTCCTGCAGGTCAACTTCAATGTCGAAATAGTCGCCTAAGGCGTTCTCCTCGATCAAAGCCAATTCATTCAGAAGGAATTGGACAGTTTTAATCTCATTATTTTCGCTTCCAACTACTTTGGGTCCGATTTTGACAAGATTATATAGATTTTCCATGGCCCGTTGGGCAATAAAAACGCCCTTGGAAGCATCCTCAATGGTTTTGGGATTGGGAACGCGATGGAACAGTGGCACTACGACTGCTAGAAAAAGGAGCAGCCAAAAAAGGAAAAAGCCACTTGCCAAAAAACAGGGTCCTCTGGGGTTCCGTAATCGTTTACTCAGCTTTTTACCGGATGTCTTAAAAGCCTGAAAAAAAGTATTGTAAAAAATAATGTTACTAAGCTTTTAAAAAGGTCTTTACTAGGTCTTCGATATCACTCATTTTTGAGCTTAGCACGAAACTCCCTCTAAAATGCGACTAATGATTAATTAGCAATGGTAACTGCTTTTATAAGCTTCAAAACCTCGTGCATAAATTGATTTCATATCTAGTTTTGGATATCTAAACTTAGCAAAAGCAAATTGGGTTGTGTAAAAGTGAAAACCGTTCAGATTTCTGATAAATGTACACATTAAAATGTACCTTTTAAAGTGCCTAAGGAACTGCGAAAACTACCCACACTTGCGAACAACTGATTTATGAGATAATAACCATAATTCCATAAATGCTGTACTTAAGCAATAAACTTTAACCCGATGAGTTGGTGGAGCTTTTTAATTTTAGACACTGTTTAGAAACTTAGCATGCCAACTTAAAATTTGTTAACACTTACTTTTGATAGAAAATCCATTTTGCTAAATGTATATCTTAATGTTCCAATGCGTCTTGAGTGCAGACTCCTGCTCGTTCATCAAATCAATAATTACTCATCAGATTCGATTTTCTAGATGCGACTCCAAATTACAGGGGAATCTCCCTTTTCTGACGTTGTTTTAGGTGTATACGTGTTTCTAATTTTAAGTTCAAAATATTAGCATATGTTTACCGGTCACCAATTATTACAGAGACATTATATCACTTGTGTGTGTGTATTTAGCACTAATCAGTTTATCTTCAGAACATTTTTTTTAAAAATGCTTCTTTACTTCATATTGTAAACAACCTTTAGCCGATGAATCCTACTATGCAGCTGAATATATTTGGTTTACGATCACATATGGCTAGCAGAGAGCTGTGATCTGTAAAATACTTTAATAGATTGGCATGCAAATATGCAAAATCAGTGTTGCCATTTCAGCTACTTTCATTTCCGACCAGATTTTAAGTCTAAAATAATTTTATTTATTTTTTAATTTTTTTATTTTATAGCCTTTATATATTCTACCTATATTTTTTTTTTCATGTCTTGTTGGAAAACCATTTACTCTTATTTTACTATCGACATAGATTATTTAATCTTCAGTAACTTACAAGATTCAGGTACTTAATTCGAACATTGTTTGTTAATTCAAATTAACTGCCCATTAAACAAAAATGATAGTTAAAAAAATATCGATAAAATAGTTATCGCGCCCAACAGCACAGTGTGCCGCCAACAGGGTGCCCAGTGTACTACAATTCAAATTAATTTAAATCTAACTGAGAACAAGCTTTTCAACGTTTTATTCAATTGCTTTAAGTTTTGTTTAAATATGTATATTAAGTTCATTATTGTGGTCAAGCAATTAAATATTCTGTCTTTTCTAATACCGTTCATGGGTCATATTTTTGATCATTAAATTTTCTTTCTACTTAATGGTTGCCCCACGATTAACAGTGGATATTTTCAAAAAAATAGTTTCTTGATAAATGCTGCTGTAAATCCGTTTTAAAACATTTATATTTGTACCTCAATGGTTTGATAGTTTATTAACTTATTTTTCAACATGTTTATTAGACCATGAAAACTTAGAAAATGAACCGTTGATATGAGGCAGGCCATTCCACTAAGGCAGCAAATGATGGCAGCGAACTGGCAAACTCTTGACTGATAGCATCGCCTTCGTTGCCAATAGAGTGGGCACCTACACCTAACTGGGTCACGGGTACATTAAAATCACCATCGGGTTTCTAAACAAAGAAGTGGATATTATTTTTGTACTCATACGCCGTTAATTCACTTGGCACTCACCCAAAAATCAATATAGAAAGTCAATGGTAAAATATGCTTGCCACTAGAGTAATAAAGATGATAGGTCGTCTGCTGTCCAATATAAGCCAAAAGTAGGGACCAGTTCACTATGGTCACATCCTCCTCTGGCTGGATGAAAACACTGGTGTGATCCGTAGTTGTTGTGTTGAATTCATAACGCATTGTATTGTTTCCCAGTTCCGTCTTAGCCACAAGCTGAAGAACCGGTACAAATGGAGGAACGATTTCTGTCTCTCGAGGCAGCCACATTATCTGCTCACGATTCTTCACCCAACGGTGGTCGTAAAGAGGATAGCCACACATCATGACCTTGTCACAGTCCGCCGCAATGCTAACTAGGCCAGTCAGATTGACCTTGGCGGTCTTCAAGGGAGAAGGTCCCCGGCGATCCTGGAAGTTGAACAGATAGCCGGACTCATCCTTGGCAACAGTGCCATCGTATTCGTAGAAGGTTCGTCGCACATGCTGGAATTCGAGTGGGATGTTATCAAATGTCTTGAAAGAAGGTCAACACACAAACCAGGTAAGGTAATCGCTGAACGTTGGTCTTTGGTCGATAGGGGAAACCAATTTGGGTGGACGTAGCCGTGTAAATGGTCACACCACTTATGGCCAAAAGACTGAACAGGATCATACTGGGTCTTCGGAACATATTGATTAGGGGTATCTAGAAATAAAAGATTTCTTAGATGAGGTAATCCATTGGAGCTAAGCTTCTTCTTACCAAGAAACCTAAGGCCAAAATGGTACCCAAAGCATTTAATGCAGAGATATACAAATCCGGATTGGTTGACCTGAAAAATATTAAAGGTTTATTAATCTCTGGTATCGTAAAAACGCTTTTGAATCTAACCTGCCAAAACGGCCCATCATGGGAATCAGGGTCACCACAAAGGTGTAAATCAGATAGCTATTATACAGGAACGGAACGACTTGGAAAATCTTAAGAACACCAGTCCAGGAAAAGCCGCGATCATGCAGAGTGGTCAGCAGATTAATAGCCAAAGGAATTACATAGAAGATGAGAGTCCAGGTGACCACGTAGGTGCTTCGCAGACCATACACAGTCAATCCAATGCACAGAATGGCCAGTATTACAGCGTGACCATGAAGAACCAATTGCAGCTGCTGTGCAAATGCCACCTTAACCTAGAAGAATGCGAATTTGATACCTTTTTATGTAATTTGTAAGTCCTGTACTACTCACGCTTCGTTGAAACTTAAGGTAGAAGTAAGAAGGCAAGCTCAATCCCAATAGACTTGGGCATATGTACAGACCAATTAACAAGGCCGGAGTGCTGAAGTAGGTGAGGGAAAGTCCATACTTGTCAAAAACATAGGCTATTGCCACGGGCAGACCCAGGCCCAGCACAAAAGCGATGATCTGGAGTACTAGGATCAGGATGAACCTGCTAATAACATATCCAGCAGATACACAAGAAATGCTTGCAGTACGCCAAATGGATACGATTACTAGGATAAATGTTATCGCGGCCACAGCATAATTTAGAATAACGCCATTGCTCTCCGTATAGCTAATAAAGTACAGACCCAGGACATCGAAAAATATGACATGTCCAGTGGCGTAAGCCTACGAAATATTAATGTTTATACAAGGACTTCTCGAGAATTAAGTATCTTACCGCTGGGTTGGCGAGTTCGGTGGCATTAGCTAGGGATCGCACAAGACTAAGCAAATTTTCGCCCGTGCTCTGTATGGAACCCCTGGGAATATTAGCGAATCGATCGTACTTGGTATGATAGCAGTAACCGTTGATGAACTGTGCAATATCCAGACCTATAGGATAAATGGTAACTTAATTGAAAGTTTTCAACTTAATGATTTAGACTTACCAATAAGATTTCCATATTTTACGAAGATACCATAATCAGTGTCTGAAGGCAGGATACCTGTTTGAAAGATTTCCTCAGCCATGGTGGTAGCTAATGGATGCTTGGCACTATTTTTATAGTGCTGCCAAAAAAGTTTATAGTTTTGTTTTGGGAAATAGAATATAATATAAGTGATACTTACTTCAACAAGCCAGGGACTATTGGGTCCAGTTTGAAATACGATATCGGAACCTCCACCGCCAGCAGAGTCCAAATTGACTACAGCTCTGAAAGTCAGATGAATTAGTTAATTAAGGCACATTAATGAAAGGGGTCTTGACTTACTTGCAGTTCTTTGCCCATTTGTGTTGGGTGATAAAACCATGTGAAGCCTGCAAGGGATTTTCTTCGGCACCGTTCAGCAGAAAGATAATTGTATGCTGGATCGTTTGCGGTGTGGTGCACATAACTCGAAAAACTTCCAGGATAGAGACTATCATCTGACCTGCATCGCCGGCAGATCGACTCGTTGGCTTGGAATCGAAGTGACTGTTGACCAGAAGGTATGTTTCACTCGTGGAGTTCTTGGGACTCAGCTTTATGACGATATTCTGCACTCCCTGATACTGATTGATCATGGTCCAATGAATATAGGATCCCGACACCTCCTGAAGATCGACTTCCACATCGAAGAACTCGTCCAGACAACTCTCTTGTATCTCAGCCACTAAGCCCAACAAATAATCAACCGTTTTGTTTTCATTGCCATCACTACCGACGACTTTGGTTCCGATTTCATCAAATTCGTAAAGATGGTTTTGGGCACGTTCGGCGATGAAGAGTCCTTTGGACGCATCCTCCATGGTCAAGCCCTTGGGAAGGTGGTAGAAGACTGGTATCACAACCGCAAAGAACAAAAGGGCCCAGAACAGGAGAAAACCACTGGCCAAATACCAGGGTCCTCTGAGGTACAGTTCTGGCTTTCTGACATTTTTGTAGGATGCTGTCTCGCCGTCGCCTTCGATGGGCTCATCGGAAATCTGTGAGCGAAAAATATTTATTTATTTAAGATGATAGTAAAGTTTTCAAAACTAATACTAACATAGAAGGTGTAGTGCTAGCTACGTGAACAATAATATTATTCAGGACTTAAGTGGAATATAGCTTAATGTTCTAAAATTACCAGTTTGTCTTTATCTCCCATTTTATCGACCTTCCAAGGCAGCTCAGCGTACTGCTCTTCTTAAAATCAGACTGATTTGCTCTAACGAGAGTCAAGTTCTTTTATACCCCAAAAATGTTTTGATACCAGTTAAAAGCCATAATGAATTTATTATACATATCAGCAATGTAGATGTTCAAGCAAATTATGATATATTATGAGCGGTTGAAGGCGATAAAGATTTATATAAGCGAGGGCAGAAAGTAATAATTGATTCTGTCTGACAAAAAAAAATAAAAGGTCGTTTTGTTCAGATGTATGTACCGTTCAATTTGATAGCTGTTTTTAAACAGTTATACATTTTTAGATGAACATTTACTTTGTTACAGAAGTCATTCAAAACGTACTTATTTGGCTTTTCTTTCAGTTTTACGAAAATTAAAAAAAAAAACAGTGGACAGAGTTTATACAAGGGCGAAAAAATAAATTGCATACAAATTTCGTTGAATGTTTTTCATTAACCATTCGTATACGTATTTTATCAGTTACAATTAGTGTGATGTAAGCATTGTTTAACACCAGTTTTAAACTGAAATGGTAACAAGCAGGGTTCGAAAATAACTTTTATTTCTAATCAAAAAAAATCAACAACATGGGAAAGCCCTAGAAGTTGCATATTTTATATTAAGCTTGACAGATAAAACAGAGAATAAGTATGTATTACATACGTTTTTGACTGATTTAACAAAATATGTCTAGTTCTTAGTAATACACTTTGTTGCGAGATCAGGATAACCCTACCACTGACATTTTGTGATAAGTGTAGTGTAAACGAAGTAAAAAATCTAAAAAACTAAATTAGCAGCAGCGGATAGAAGGAACGCAATGGGTTCTATCGTTTTATGTGTAAGTATAAGTTAGCTATCCCTAGTTGCGATGGGTCCTGTAGCTAGGCACACGGTTGCGAGTTCTGTTTTCCACGCAAGACACATCCATCTCGCGACTCGGATTCGAGCTGGCCATGGTCCTTCGGCGCAAGTTT